ATGATTCTCACCAAAACCACAGAAAAGGCTCTGTTCCTAAAAGCACCATGGAATCTTCTAGGAGCACCTTGGAATGCTTGCAATAGACTTACATCAGACTTTTTATTTAATAACTAACCTTGATGGATGTTTAACAGCCTTACTTTGAGGCCTATACTAATTTGGTCAGAGGTACATAAAGGACAGTCTTTGCTCCTTGCCCTCCTAAGTCAACTAAGTTCCAAGGGACTATGAGGATCTCTCAAAATGTCCTTTAACTGTGGTGTGTCACCTGTCCTCTTGATCATGGAGATGGAGACCCCACCAAATGGACTTGAACCAATGTCCAGTCTACAAAGAGGAGGGTCAACACAGAGGAAACATTTCTTCCATTCTTCCAAGTGAAGCCAGCAACGGTCAAGCAGGACCTTTGACTTATCTTCACATAGATGGAAATGGTTAAAGAAAGAAGCCAGAGGCTCCTCCCAAGCCCATGTGATCTCTGAGAAACAGATCCTCAAACAGCCTTAAGAGTAAAATAAATTGATTTATCTGGGCCAACTGTATGGTCTTAAACACCCCAAAGGAAGGTATATCCAAAGATTAAAGGGATCATTATAATTCTTTAAGAGTCCATGTGTATAACTAAAAGCTACATAATAAGAAACAATGCCAGACAGGAGATACCTTCCTTTGAGTTGTTGGCCAGGGTGGTCCAAGAGATTCCCAGACAGTAACCCAGCATAGAACTGGGAAAATGAACAGCAGGCCCAATCTTATCTAAAGGAATATTGGCAACTGATTGCTGTTAGATGAGGAAAAGCTGATCTTCTTAAAACAAGGAACCCTAGATAGGCTGACTAGATTCAGCTGATGGACAAGCACTGGAGAATGGCTGGGGATGCCAACAACACAGTGGACAGTAACAGGGATGACAGAGTATATGGGCTCCAGTGGCAGGAGGGGGGAGACTATGGGAGGGTGCCGTTTGGGATGTGGATATATAGATGAATAAGATTGTTTGGGATGTTCTATATAAAATACACACCCAAAAAATCAACAAATAAAAATAATGAGTTATATTTGAGGAGGAAGCATAACAATTTGCTCCATGTTAATTGGTAGAGGTGAAACACATTACCATTGAGATCTACCCGATGATTTTATATCCATGCTCAGGTGGATCTCAAAAAGTAACTGACGGTGATTAGTTAATAATCAGATATATAGAGATTAGAGATGCATGTGCAAACATCTAAGTGTTAGTAGCATTAAAAGTTTTTTCTGTATGAAACAATGTATTTTAAAATGAAATGGAGATCTTTTTTAAAGGTTAAAACCTCATTCAATTTTATGTCTTTTAGGGTTTATACTGAGTTCAATATTGTATAGCTGTATTGGTTCGACTGTGAACCTAAAAATTTCCAGCCAATTTTGAAAACTTCCTCGGGCATTGCACGACACAGGTGCACTTACCTACATGCAGGCAATTAAATAATTTTTAAAAAATAAAAATAATAAATAATAAATTTTAAAAACATTCTCTGTACCAAGAAAAAAACAAACAAATAGCAGCAACAAAGTTAAAAGCTGACTTGCAGTTATCATGGAACAGCAACTAAGAGCTGTAAAATGAATGGACGTGTGAGGCACCCGTTGAAAATGTGACATGCTTTATAAATGCTAAATAATAATAATGATGTCATGGGGCTCTCATTTTTAAACTGTCTTAATTTCATTCTCAGTTTGAGCTTGCAGATTACAGTAGTTAATTATAGAAATTGGCCCAGAGTGAAACCTTAAATCAGATTTCCATTAAAGTGCATGACTGCAGCAAATTACTCTACAGTGAGAGAAAAGGCAAGACTCACAAGTCCTCTGGAAGGGGTTCTTCCCACCACCCAGGAGGTACTTTTTTCTTCCAGTGCAAGGTGGGACACTGTGTCCTGAGCAGTCCTGTCTGCTAAGCCAAGCAGCAGTATGTCTCCTGTAGTTTTTCCTGTAGAAATCCTAGCTGCCTGGGGAGTCCTCATTCCGCTCTTTCTCTGCCCTCTCCAACTTGTTTTCATTCATTCCCCTAATTACATTATAATTCCCTCCTTCCCTCTCTCCCTCCCTTCTTCCCTCCCTCCCTCCTTCCCTGCTGACTTTCATACCCTCTCATGTCCCAAAAGGTCTGTATCTCTTAATCTCTGTCTTCTCTCTTGTTTGCTTTTATTGCGTTTGTTTTTGTTTGGGTTTTTGGATTTTGTTTTGTTTTGTTTTGTTTTCTACTGTCTCTGTCTACCTCCCAGGAAAGCTACTATCAAATCTTGCATTCACCCAGCCCTGAGAATCAAAGGAACAAGCCAGAGAAGCCAAGCTTCTGGCTCTGGCCCTGGTACTGGTACCTTGCCTACATTACCTCAGGTTACCTCCACTTCAACCTGTTTCTCAGTGAGCTGATTGAGTGCAATGTCTGCCTTCGTCCTGGTTACAGTCTCGTACTTAAGATCCTTGGATTCAATGCTGTCTAAACTTGTTGCTTTCTCTTTAGGTAAAGGTTGTTATATGAAGATTATCTATTTTAATGTTGGACTTGCATTAAACATATAAGATGTGAGAGCCTCAGGAGGATTGATACCCACTGAGACAGCTCCACATTCACAGTTTGTGTTTGACATTCACTCCAGGGCATTCACCCACTAAGTGCAGTTGTCAGAGGGTCGCAGACATCTCCTTCTCACTCCCTCCACTCTTGTCTATTTAGGTAAATTCACATAAGTTCATGTGAACTGTATAGAATAAGAATAACACACAGTTTCAAATAGGTTAAGCACATTGACCCTCTCGAACTCATTGATAAGCTGACATCTGAACTTCTCCTTCAAGGATGCGCAGGTAGAACATTGCAGAGGCATATAGGTGCCAGTGTGTATTCACCTGAATGCCTAATTCTTGCTCAGGACAATTAGTGAGACTCTGCAGTTCTTTCACAGACCCATAGTCATCAATACTGGTGAGTGTTTTTCTTCCATTGTTCTGGCAAGTTCCTCTCCATCCCACAGTTATTTGGAAAGGACTGCTATACCAAGCCTCAGTGCTAACAGCACTTAATCGCTGTCATTAGAAAGCAAGCTTCTGCTTACCCATTGGCCTGCTGTGAGCGGTAATGGGAGATTTCTTTCTTGGGAGGAGTCCCAGTCCCTAATTGGTCTGAAAAGTATTGCTCATTTATCTTATTAAGTCATTACCTTTTTACTTAAGTTTAGTAACTTGGTGCCCTCATTTTATTCATATTCAATATAGCTGTAGTATGCTGGACAAAGTTTACTTACTTGCTGGCTAGGTAACCTGTCCACTTGTATCATTGCTTGCTGAACAAATTCATGTATAAATGTCCATTAAGAAAGTACTCTTAGAACCGTGTGGTAGACATTGCACATTATCATCTTGTTGACCCCTTTCAGCAGCCTTATGGATGTGGGACTATTACCCCCATTCTGCAGCATATCAAGAGAAGTTGACATAGCTTAGCCAGGTTCTCAGCTTTGGCAGCCGGCACGCATCGGTAGATGGTCATAGACCCAATGTAGACCCAGCTAATGCACTGCAGCATGTTGGCTGTGTGACCTTGAATGCTCCCAAAGCTTTCTCCACTATAGACAGCTATCCCCACTGTGTGAGCAGAGCTCTGGGAGGGATTGGACTTTTTTAAGTGAGAATTCATGTAATGGCGTTTTTTAAAAACTGTTAAGTGCTGTACAAATGTAATATATTATTTTCTCTTGTGTTGTCTGCAGTTAATTTATCTTATCTAAACCACAGATCTAAAACTGGCATGCAGCGTATTAGTGTAGCATAGTTTACTTGTGGCTGCATTGTTGGAATTTTGATGCCTCAGGCTTGATGAATAGCTGTTTTCTGTGGGTGTTATCAATTCATCTACGTAATGAATTCTCTTCATTATCTCTTTTGTGTTAATTATACAGGATTTTGTTATATCTATTTATCAAGTCAAGTACAATATTTTTTGTCCCACATGCCTCTGAATATGGAATATGTGCCAACAGGTGAACGTGATGGGGTTTAAACTGACATTTCTGAAAAACTCCAGTTAGTGTCTTGGCTTCCTCTACATCATTACTGTGATGTGAGGGAGCGTCTCTTTATCTCTGTTTTCTTTTTTTAATGGAAAAAGCTGTTATCTTAGATAATTAGATTATCTCTGGTTTTTTAGAATAAACCTCCAGCATATTAAGGAGGTACTGAGAAGTATGGAAAGATTGGACTCTACCTAGCCATAAAACAACACACAATAAGTTCCTAGTTTTAAGCTTTAGGCATAATAACAAAATTTACATACATATCATAGAGATAAGAGAGATAAGTATATGAAATTTTAAATGACACTTCATTTTTAAAAATGAAAGGTGTGGAGCTGGAGAGATGGCTAAGAGGTTAAGAGCACTGACTGCTCATGCAGAGGACCTGGGTTCAGTTCTTAGAAGCTACCGGTGACCAGTTCTAGGGGATCTGACACCCTCTTCTGGCCTCCCTGGGCATTGCACATTCCTGGTGTTCTTGCATACATGTAGGCAGAACACTCCTACACATAAAATAAAAATAAACAAATTCAAAATAATTTAAAATAAAAAAATAGTTACAAATAGCAGTATTTAAGAACCCAGAAGGCACTGTATATTAAATAAAGAAAAGAACACTGAATTCATTCCGAGTTCTGATTCCCCTGATGAGATAGGATGGTGATAGGAGTTAATGTGGGTTATGTTTAATGTTATACATTGTTGTTTATTCACTACTGAATTTTAATTTTTGTGACATTCTGGTCTGTTTCTAGTGTTTTATGCTCTGTGTGGAAAATAAATTAAATAAATAAATAAGTGAATAAATAAATAAATAAATAAAATTATATAAAAGCAAGGAATTGTATTTTTACCCATCTCTATTGTTTAGCCAAAATGTTTTGAGACTATTGGTTGTCTGCATTTTGATGAGCACCTTCCTGTTTTGTGTTTCAGGTGGAAGCCATCCTCGTCAATATTTTTGGTGGGATCGTCAACTGTGCCATCATTGCCAATGGAATCACCAAAGCCTGCCGGGAACTGGAGCTCAAGGTACCCCTGGTGGTCCGGCTTGAAGGTAAGTCATGGAGTTTTCAATGCTGATACCCTTCTCCAAGGTTGTGTGCCCAGCATGTTCTAGACCCACAAACTTCCTGAGATGGCATAGAAAACAGTGGATTAAATAAGGTGGAGCAAAGGCAGTACCACAGACTTTCCCTGAGCTTCTAATAGGCCAATACAATTGCAACCCTTCACAGGGATGGTAGATGTTAAGATTGTCCAGATTTGCCCAGCTGATTCCCAATTGAAAACCCTCCTGTTATGGAAACCACAGATATAAATAATACATATATGTATGTATATGTACATATATATGCATATATGTAATAACAAAATAGAAAATTGTAGAATTACACTGAAATAAAAATTAGTGAATTTTGTTTCATCTTCTCAAAAGAATCAAAACAAATAATATTATCAACATATGATTGACTGCAGGAAATTGATATTGGGACGGCAAAGGAAACCACAGATAAAATGGGGAGAGAGAGAGAGAGAGAGAGAAAGAGAGAGAGAGAGAGAGAGAGAGAGAGAGAGAGAAATATGTTTTATAAAAATAACTTAAAACTTCAGTAAGAATAGTGATAATGTTTTACAAATCCCTTTTCTACCTAGGTTAATATGTGTTTCTGTATTAATACTCTTGTAAGGCATTGTTTTGGTTAAAACATGTGGCCTCAGAGACATGCATTTGGGCATAGGAAGAAATTTTTTATTTTGTTTTTAGTTTTGTTTGAGACTAGATCTCCCTATGTAGTTCAGGCTGGCCTTGAACTTCCTATGTGGCCCACTCTAATCTCAAATTCAAAATCCTCCTGCTTCAGCCCCTCAAGTGCTAGGTGTGCATCACCATGGCCAGCTATGAGGTGTGTATAGTCATCGTTTACATAGCTGTGGGTTTTCTTCCTTGGTTCTATAGTAAAAGTCTCTAGACTAATTTCCTTACTAAAGATGTTCTAATGTGGAATGGGAAATTGACATTTTTGTACTATGTGTCATCCACACTAAATCGATTTCACAAATACAACCTCAGGCTCCCATCATTTTCTAAAATTTCAGTTATGCAGATATTCTAAAGGTTGACACAATTCTAAATACAATACCAAAATAATCCACACTTGTTACTATCACTACCATCCTTATCAGGACAACTTTTAAAGCTGTTAAGTTCACAGTGGTAGATGCTTTGAATTTTTAGTATGAAGTACAAGTTTTATCTTCAGCCACAAATAGGTTTTGTCCTTGAAGTGACAGGTTCACTTCACTCATTTTTGAGAAAATATCTGCCGAATAACCAACTCTAAATAGCTATAGTGTGTCAATTGGTCTTTGAAGTAAAAATGATGTTCCGTGGGAAAGTGAGTTCCGTGACTTGATGCTCACATGTAGAAGAGCTTCTCAGAGACAGCCACCAGAGTCAAGTAAGGTCTTTAGGCCAATGCTCAGCTGTGGAAGTGCTTTTTCTCAGAGGCAGCCACCCCAGTAAAGCAGGTCACTTAGCTCAAATATGGAAGCACTACACAGACTGCCACCACAGTCATGAGGATAGGTTAGCCCAGTGCTCAGGTATGGAAGCACTTTGCCTCAGACAGCCACCATAGTTCAGGATGTGGTTGAAGTATTTTCTGTAAATGTGCCATTTAAGGATGTAGGACATCAAAAAGTACTCAAGGGCTGAGACTCAATAAAATTAACATTCTTTTATCATTCATCACTTGAAACTGGCACTTTTCATTGTGAGCATGTGATGGGGAGATCAGTGATCCCTGGTTCTGTGTGGCCCTAGCCTTCATTCCATGCTAACTTGGCGACAGTTTTACCCACCCTCACTTGACCATCACTCTACGTCATCAGTGCAAATGCCAACCCAGTTTTATTTATTCATTACTACTCAACAGTCCCGCTAAGTTGATTTTTTTCAGTATCCCTCTGGGGACAGTCCAGGTTCCCCAGGCTCTGTCCTGGTGTTCTTCTGAGATGAAGGCTGAGGGTACTATGACAGTGCCGCCATGTATCCCAGCCCCTGATGGGGAGTCAGGAGTCCAGAACACCTGCAGCCTGCTGTCCTGTCTCCTTTATGTCCTCTCTCTCTCCCCCCTCCCCCCTCTCTCTTTCTCTCTCTCTTCCACACCCTCTTCCTTTCCCCCTCCCCCTCCCCCTCTGTCTCTCCCTCCCTCTCCCTCCAACACTGCTTTCTTCTACCCTCAAGACTGTCTGTCTTGCAACCTTAGACATATGCAACGTGGACTTGATAGAAATAATGATCACAGGAAAAGTGGGGATGGAGCAAGCTTCAGGCAGCCAAGTTCAATGTGGCCAGTAAATGTGTATCTCTAGATTAACTTAACTCATCATAGAAATACAAAGGCAGCACAACTGATTTCAGTAAATGGATAAGAAGCTAATGATTGGCAGCCAGCACAACAGTGCAAGAAGATGGCACAGCAGTTAATGAGGTCATCAATATTAGTGTAGTTCTGATTGAAATGTTGATGCTGGACTGATTTTAAATTCAAAGTGACCTCTGAGTCTCATGTTGTAAAAGTCAGTTCCCCTGTGTTCATTAAGAAGAGACAGGTTTCTCTAGGCAAATCATATTAGTATCTGTCACTTGGAAACAATTAGGAGTGCTTACTGTAGTGGACTTGGTTTTGTTGTTGCTCTGTCTTGTTTGTTTGTTTTCCTAGTGATCCTCCCTGGGCCCATGCTGTACATTTCTAGAAAAGAAATTACCCTCCTTTAGCTTTTCTTAAAAAATCAAAAATGGGCTGGGGTGATAGCTCAGTCAGTAAAGTGCTTGCCTTATGAGCACACAGACCTGACTTCAATCCCCATAGCCCTCATTAAAAATAAAAAAATTAAAATCCAGGTGTTGTAGTCCCACCACAGTGGAGGCAGAGACGGGAGATCCCTGACAAGACAGCCTAGCCTACTTGATGAGTGCCAGGCCAGTGAGAGACCCTGTCCCAAAAAACAAGGTGGAAGCGACCAGAGGAACAACAACCAAGGCTGTCTTCTGGCTTCTACCTGCACATACGCACATACCCACATGTGTGCACATGCACCCGTACATACTTGCATGTCACACACATGAGCATGAGCACACACGCAAACACATACACAGACGTACAAACTGAAAGCAGACCTTCTCTTATTTTCATGCTATGCTTAGTACTCCAGAAGTAGCACATAGTCCCTGCAGTACCTGGGAGGTACACATGCAGAAATATGCAGAACAACACAGCCAACATTCTCAGCCTTAATCATCACTCTTGTTTGTATGAGAAGTCTATCGGAGATACCAGGGAGAAGCTTTGAAATGTCTAAGCTTGTTAGACTGTCCGATTTGTACCATTTAATAGGTGTTCTTCCAGGGGCATGGTTTTTTAATTAATTAATTTAATTAATATATTAAGAAATGCTATGTATGGGGCTAGAGAGATGGCCCAGCACCCATATGGTGGCTAACAACCATCTGTAACTCCAGATCCAGGTGATCTGATACCCTCTTCTGGCCTCCATAAGCATTGCATAACACAGGTGCACATACATACATACAGGCAAAACACTTATACACATAAAATAAAAATAAATCTACTAACTACTTAGAGTGACAACATCATATTGCCTTCTGTGGCCTAGAAAATTGATGCAATGACTCCAGACAAGCCAAAGAAAAAACTGTGTCTCTCCAAATTTATGTAGGCTGATGCTGTCCCTGGAGACCTTCTTTGCCACTGTCCTTACTCTTTCTGTGCCTTTATGGTCTCTGATCATAAACACGTTTTACCAAGAGAGAAGAAGTAGGTGAGCTTGGACATTTCTAGAGTCCTGGCTGCTGTTCTTTTCTTACTCCACAAATTTCATGTTTTCTGAAATGAGTCCATTTTTTCACTTCTCAAAGTGTATACAAAATCATAACAATGTTACTTATTTCAGTGTAGTCTGTGGTACTGTTGAGAAATGTCCAGCTAGTGATTGACAGTTTGTACATTCAGTATATAGATGTGGTCTAGCCACATTCTACAGCTCTGTAGCATCCAAATTTGGTAAAATCTTCAATCTCTCTCTTTTCTTTAAAATTCATTCTTTTCTTAAACATTTTTTGTGTGTAAGAATGCTTTGCTTGTGTGTGTGTTGGAGGCCAGAAAAGGGCATTGGATCCCCAGGAACTGGAGTTAAAGACAGATGTTAGTTGCTGGGAACTGAACCTGGGCCCCCTGGAAAAGCAGCCAATGCTTTTAACTGCTGAGCTATTCATCTCTCCAGCCCCTGTTCTTTTTTTCTAATCTAGAACCTCTCTAGACCAAGCTGGCTTCAAATTCACAGAGATCCCCCTGCCTCTGTCTCCCAAGTGTTGGGATTAAAGGTGTGTGACACCACACCCAGCCATAAAACTATTCTTCCTTATTATTGCCCCACTTAAATCTGCAGCAAATTCCTTCATCTCTAATAGGCCCAAGGAAGAATTTGCTCTTCTCTCGTTGCACATTATGCTGGATAGCTTTAGCGTCAACTTGACACACCTGGGTTAAGGGAGCCTCAATTGGGGAATTGCCTTCATTGGACTGGCCTGTGGCCATGTCTGAGACGCATCTTCTTGATGAGTGATGTGGGAGGGCCCAGCCCACTGTGGGTGGTGCCACCCCTGGGCAGGTGGGCCTGTGTTGCATAAGAAAGCAGGGTGAGCAGGGGCCATGGGAACAAACCAGTAAGCAGCATTCCTCCATGGCCTGTGCTCCAGCTCCTGTCTCCAGGTTCCTGCCCTGAGTTCCTACCTTGGGCTCCCTGATGAACTGCGGCCTGGGAGATGTAAGCTGAATAAACCCTTTCCTCCCCAAGTTGGTATTGGTCAGAGTGTTTTGTCACAGCAATGGAGAAACAAACTAAGACACACATTATGATTCTAAGTTGAGTTCATTAGTAATAACATTAAGAACTGTGAACCCAGATAGTTTGTGGATTGGATCCTCTTAGCCAGCTCTTCGCAATTTGATTTTTCCACCCAACACCAAA